TCTCTCTCAGCTTCTGTCCTTATTTCAACAAAATCTCTTACATTTTTTCTCTCTGTGTGTGACAGGGAATGACAGGCTACGTTTTTTTGACTGGTGATTTTCTGTAGCAATCGATGCCATATGGAGGTAGTGTGGAAAAAGAGAAACACAATTGCTTATCGACAGAGAAGTCAAAGTCTGAAAAAGACAAGCTGACAGCTGTCTGAGGAGAGAACGGCACAAAGAGAGGAGAAGAGAAAAGCCAAGAGAGCGAAAATAGAGATGCAGAGTTAGTCATTGGCACAATAGACGCTTATGTCCTGAAAGGGAGAGCCGTGTTTGTGAAAGTGCTGAAACGATTGAATCGATGCGTTAACAAATGACTATTATTATTTTTTAATGCTTTATTATATTTGTGACATATGTGCTGTCTATAATAGTGACACAATCGTATAAGAACAGCATCATTGCAGAGATTGAATGGATTTGCTTAAAAAATACAAATAAACAGTTTACAACAGACAGATAGATATAGATTTTTGAGACAGTTAATCTTAATCTTTTTTTATCTTATAATAATTTTAATATTGTGTTTATACACTCATCGGCCTCTTTAATAAGGTACTAGTACTGAGTTATTCCTTCAGAACTGCCTCAATTCTTGGTGGCATAGATTCAACAAGTTACTGGAAATATTCCTCAGAGATTTTGGTACATATTGACAAGATAGCATCAAGCAGTTGCTGCAGATTTATTGGCTGTCTATCCATGATGTCAATCTCCCACTCCACCACATCCCAAAGGTGCTCTATTGGTTTGTGATCTGGTGACTGTGGAGGCCATTTCAGTACAGTTAACTCATTGTCATGTTCAAGAAACCAGTCTGAGATGGTTCATGCTTGATGACATGGCATATCCCCCACACCATTACACCACCAGCAGCAGCCTGAACCGTTGATACAAGATAGGATAAATCTATGCTTTCATGCTGTTGACTCCAAATTCTGACCCTACCATTCAAATTTTGCAGCAGAATTCAAGACTCATCAGACCAGGCAATGTTTTTCTAATCTTCTTTTGTCCAATTTTGGTAAGCCTGTGTGAATTGTAGCTTCAGTTTCCTGTTGTTATCTGACAGGAGTGGCACCTGGTGTGGTCTTCTGCTGCTGTAGCCTATCTGCCTCAAGGTTCGACCTGTTGTGCTATTAGAGGTGCTCTTCTGCATACCTCAGTTGTAATGAGTGGTTATTTGAGTTACTGTTGCCTTTTTATCAGCTTGAGCCTCTTGACCTCTGGCATCAAGGCATTTGCGGCCATAGAATTGCTGCTCCCTGGATATTTTTCTTCTTTTTCAGATCATTTTATGTAAACGCTAGAGATGGTTGTGCGTGAAAATCCCGGTAGACCAGCAGTTTCTGAAATACTCAGACCAGCCTGTCTGGCACCAACAACCATGCCACGTTCGAAAGTCACTTAAATCACTTTTCTTTCCCATTCTGATGCTCGGTTTGAACTGTAGCAGGTCGTCTTGACCATGTCTACTTGCCTAAATGCATTGAATTGCTGCCATGTGATTGGCTGATTAGAAATTTGCATTAACAAGCAGTTGGAAAGGTGGATCTAATAAAGTGGCCTGTGAGCATATACTATTGTTACGATTCCAAATGTGTTTAATCAAAGGGCAGGGAAGTAACATTTATTTTTGAAAGGAAGCACACACAAGGAATCACAATGTAAATGGGTTAGTTACAAAATACCACGACTAACAAAATGCAATGAAGTTGTTTTTTTTATGTACAATAAGCTTGTAAGAAAAAGTTTTAAAAAGATATAGAAAGATTAATATTTACAAATAGACATACATAATGGTAGAGTTGGAGAAATAAGACATGGGCGGGGTTCGAATAATAGATATAAACAAAACAAAACATGCTGTTCTATTGACCTAGTTTCTATTTTGGTACTGTAAGATACTTGCCAGTATCCTGTAGATATATGGATAGACTTTGAAACATATATAGAGGGAGAGATGGATGGATGGATGGATGGAGGGATGGATAAATGGATGGATGGATAGATACGTGTCTGTATGTGCGTGTCTCTTGCTGTGAGCTTGAGGAAAGGATGTCACATGTCACATAATGACACAAAGTTGGGCTGACACTTTCAGCTAGAACCTTCTAGTGGCCTTGAAGTCACCAGCTAATCTGATGTGCCTGTGGATAAATTCGATTTTGTTTTGTGTAACACATACAATAGCACTACACAGGACTCCACCCACTCTTGTCAAGTGAAATCACAAGACTCTTGCGTCTTATTGAAACATTTTTAGGCTATATTAACTGTGAAAATGTCAGCACTGAAGGTGTAATGATTTGGAAATGCCTGTAGTAGCGCAGTATTTGTCGAGACCAGGTTGTTTGCTCTCTTTCTCTCCATCTCTCTTACTCTCTTTGTTGTGCCCTTTCTATTTCGACCTGACCTGTATAGTCTTCCTCTCTCTTTGTATGTGAAAACACTCTCCCAAATCCAATTTTCAGCTTGATTCTTTCACCCCTGCAGTCTGCGGACAAGTCCAGACCTACACCTCTCACACACGCCGGTTCCATCAAACACAGAGGTGCATGAAGACGCTTGACCTGCGGGTCAGCATTTAGAGCACTTATGATGCGCTTCCCCACCCAGTCGCTCATGCTCTCTCCAATTCTGCCCTTCACTCTTTCTATGCATCACTTTTCACCATTGATTATTATTGTAATTCTGGTTTAGCAAGTTGAGTTTTATGGGGTGCTTAACCCACACCCAATATATAATCTGATGTTTATTAGAAGGCTATTTCTGAGTTTGAATCAGTTTTTTTGTTCAATAATAATAATTATTAATTTTTCAAGTAATTATGTATTTGTGTATGAACTAACTGTCATCGTTCAAAATACTAACACAAAAAGTACTTTTTAGGATCCTAAATTTGTTTTAAGACCCTTTCCAGCTCCACCTGGTGTTTTCCAGTACTGGGTTGTGGCTTGAAGGGCATAAAACATATGATGGAATAATTGGTGGTTTATTCCACTTTGGCAACCTCTGAAAAAGAGAAAACTTAATAATATTAATTTCTTACATAGCGCTTTATAAAATAATACATTATTATAATAATTTTTAATAATAATTTAATCTCCTCATCCACCACGAGTGTGCAGCATCCACCTGGATGACATGATGGCAGCCATATTGTGCCAGACAGCACACCACGCACCAGCTGATGGAAAGGAGAGTGATGAAGCCCATTATCATATGGGGATGGTTTAGAGGCCAGTGGGCAAATTTGACCAGGATGCCAGCGTTAAACCCCTACTCTTTTACAAATGACATCCTGGGATTTTTTAAGGGCCACAGAGAGTCCAGGACCTCGGTTTAACATTTCATCCGACAGACGTCCCCTTCACTATACTGGGGCATTGGGACCCACACAGACCACAGGTTAACCGCCTCCTGCTGGTCTCACTAACACCACTTCCGGCAGCAACCGAGTTTTTCTTTGTGGTTCCCCATCCAGGTACTTAGCAGGCACAGTCTTGCATAGCTTTAGTGGGCAACCATGTGAGAGTTGCAGAGCTAGCTGCTGGCTGTAGAGAAATATGTGAAGGAAAATGAATGAATGAACGAACGAACGAACATACACATGGTGTCATTTAGAGCATTTGACACAATAGCAAAAACTAGTACTTTTTTGACAACACAATTGAGCTTTAAGACCATTTTTCTGAAAAATGCTCTAAAAAGAAATATTTCTGTTTCAAATGTTTTATTTTAATCATATTTAAGAATCATTCTTTTGCAGAACAAAACAAATATTCAAATTTTCGTCAAACAGATAGCTAATAAATTCATAGAAACTGATAATTTTCAAGTAGTCTCCTTAATATTTCCATAGCTGTGTATCTATTTTAGAAATGAGAGTCAAACTACTATAATTTCTCAAACATCTTAACGAATAATGATCCTCCACTACAGCAAGTGAAGAGCTGCCTACTGAAATATTTCACTGACATCATTTAGTCACATCATTAGAGTGCCAACTGCAGACAGTTGAACATACTTGATAATTAAACTCAGGCAGTGCCTTCAGACACAGAGAGACTTTGCAGTTTAATGGACAAACTCTCCTCTCTGTCGCAGACAAAAGAAGGTGTCATCTCTATCAGCCTCTTTTTTTTGGTAGTAATTGCCATTGTTATTATTTGTGACTGCACTTATCAATGAGAATGCATCTCTGGCAGGATTATTATTTGATACTGCTGACCAGAGAAGAATAGAAAATCAAACAAAATGCAGTGCATTCAACTTTTATTGAAATGGGGGAGAACAACTCAAAGACATTTACCATATGTACCCACACTTTTAAGTTAAAACACATTATCACCCCTACTATAATTAAGGTTGGTTGGGGGAGTAAAACATTTCACAGCTGACAAACCTAAAAAAAATCTGGCAGCTCGAAAAGTGTGTGCTACAAATCACCCAAAGTGCAAATCAACAACTTTTCCATTTTGTCCTGCGGCACCGGTGTCTACAGACCTCATTTTCACTCACTAGTCGATAGCCTGTGCAGCTTTTAATGCTTGAAAGGTTAACAGCATTGTCGTGTTGGAGGTGACAGGGCCCGGGTGCGGAGCCGTGAAACACGCAGGCCCCTGGATGAGCTCTGTTCTGTGCTGCTGGGAGGGATCTGTCACTGGGAAAATGTCAGGGGATAATGTGTGATCACTGGGCGTTTCAATGGAAGGTCAAGCTCCCCCACCTTCATCTTAGCTCCCCAGGGATGCTTTACCAAGCCGCAGACGAGCAAATGCTGTATTACTAGAGTACACTTGAAATGTCAGGGATCGAGCTTTTCTCAACACACACCAGCTGTCTCGCCATTACCCCTAAGGCCAAACTCATTTGCAAAGAGAGATGCACACTTGTAAATACACGTAAACCATACAAACGTATTCTTACCTTTCTCTCTCTTGGTTTTGTAGATGGCAGCGATTACAGTGAAGTTCTCCCGGACTCGTTTCCATCAGCTCCTGCCGAACCGCTGCCAGAATTCCAGAGTGAGCCCGAGGATGCATTCATAGTAAAAAACAGACCCGTCAAACTGTCCTGCAAGGCCGCCCCTGCCACACAGATATACTTTAAATGCAATGGAGAATGGGTGAACCAGAATGACCATGTGACCAAGGAAAGTCTGGACCATATCACAGGTAATTTCTGCTTTATGGATACACATTTTTGCTGGCACCTCTTGATACAGTTGTAAATCTATGGACCTTAATAAAGAGTTAGCAGGGTGTCCGTGGGGTTTTAAAAAGTATAAGTTGATAAATCAGTGTAGAGAAATTAAAGGCCCTTAAAAAGTATTAAGAAGTCCTTAATCATAATTTGCAAGGTATTACATTTTTCATCATTTTTGATTATGCAATGTTGGGTTGTATGCTAAAGTTTGCCTAAATTACATCTGCGAATATCAGGATGCTGTGTAGTTTATGAAATTAATGAAATTCTACTAGATTTGACATCACGCTGCTTTGTTTACTGCAGTAACCAAGGCAAAACCATTATTTACGCAGCTTTATTAGTGGCAATCTGCTAAATTAGCTAGATTTAATAGATTTTTATTTAGTATATCAATAATGTTTTAGTTCTGGATTAGTTTCTTACATTGATATTTAGTAGGTTAACATCTCGCCAATGTTTCCGGTTGAAAAGTGGTTATAATGTTTTAAAATGTATGGTAAGAGTCTTAAAATAGGTCTTAAAAGGTATTGAATTTCACTCTCTGATTCCTGCGTATACTCTGGTTAGAGGTTCCAGTTTGTCCTGAATGTGTTTGGGTTTAGATTTAGGTTTTGGTTTCTCTTTGGTTTGAAAGGCTCTTTACTGACAGAATCTAGAACTTTGGCCACACAGAATAAATATCTGAAAGAACAGTTGTTCTGGAAGAAAAAGTTCATATTACTGTATGTTCTCCATAGGGGGACTGATTTTGAACAATACAACACACCGACAAAGGATATGAACAGCTTATAACCTTATAAAGGCCTAAAGTGAGTTTTGTGTTTGGTGAGGAATAGTTAACAGTGTAAATATAAATGTACTTACAGAAATTTAATACAGATGTAACTACATGCAGGTATTTTATCGGGCATAAGTAAAATCATGTATTTACACAATATGTGCATTGTAACGAATTACTAATTACATTGTAAGTACATATAAGTTAAAACCACTTCATATAAAGGGGACCTGAAACTCATGCATTAAACAAATCATAGCTTGCTGGTTTATTTCATGACCTCTAATGAATAATTTAAAAACTCTTAAGACAAAATAAATAGAAAAATACAACCAGTGCTCAAAGCCATTTCTTTAGAAGTGGTTGTCTATATTCCTCCGGGTGCTCCGGTTTCCCCCACAGTCCAAGGACATGTGGTGTAGGTGAGTTGGGTAAGCTAAATTGTCCATAGTGTATGTGTGTGAATTAGTGTGTATGGATGTTTCCCAGTGATAAGTTGCAGCTGGAATGGCATTCACTGTGTAAAACATATGCTGGAATAGTTGGCGGTTTATTCCGCAGTGGCGACCGCTGATAAATAAGGGAGTGAGCTGAAGGAAAATTATTGAATGAATTAAATGATGTACTTTTATTTACTCATTTATTGTAATTTATACATTGTAAAACCCAAAAAGTTAAGGTCACTCAAACCGTTTGAGGAAATTGCTTGCAAAAAAAACATTTAAGTTCAAAAACTAATCCTAATGAGTACTGTGAACTTAATCCATTTGAGTAAATAAAGCAATTTGAGCACAGTAAAACCCAATCAATGAAGAGAACTTAAACCAACTGAGTACTGAAAACCCAATAAGTTAAGGCAACTCAAACCGTTTAAGGAAACTGATTGCTGCAAACCATTTGAGTAAAAAAAAATGGATCTATATGAGTACTGTGAACTTAATCCATTTAAGTTGAAGTAATGAGGTATTTAATTTCTCTGAGTTCAAAACTCTTTTCAAATGAGTAGAATTAACTTTTAGTAAAATATGAGTTACCTACACTTATTTCATTTGATAAAGTTGACTGTTGGGTTTTACAGTATAATTTTGTTTTAAATGTATTATTATTAAATCTCCAAAATGCATCAATATAAACACAAGTGTATTATTTTTAAACAAAACAGTGTTGCAATTTCCCTTCCTCTGTCAGGATGTATAGTGACACAAATTTGAAAGCTGAGACTGATATATTCATACTTTCCTCTTTTGTTCTCTGTCTCAGGTCTGGTAGTGAGAGAAGTAGATATCTCTGTCTCCCGGACGCAGGTAGAGGAGTTGTTTGGGCTGGAGGATTATTGGTGCCAGTGTGTTGCCTGGAGCTCGGCAGGCACCACAAAGAGCCGTCGGGCTTACGTCCGCATCGCCTGTGAGTTTGTGTTCAGCAGCTTATGTGATCTGTCGGTGTGACGTGCCTTTTAGGCATCAAACTCTGCCTGGAGATGACAGCACCTGAAGAGAACCCTAGTATTTTGAATTTAAAACACTCCCTATTTTTACTTGTGCTATTTTAATCCAGAACACATGAATACATATTTCCATATAATTAAAAAATGGAAACCCTTTTTGGTTGTTTTGGATTTCAAAAAATATGATCTGTTTGTTTTTTTCAGACTTGAGAAAGAACTTTGAGCAGGAGCCGCTTGGCAGGGAGGTGCGTCTGGAGCAGGAAGTATTACTGCAGTGTCGTCCACCAGAGGGCAGCCCGCCTGCTGAGGTGCTGTATTGTCTTCCTATGCTTTTTGCATATTTTACAGTCTATGATATAGAGGTGGATTTAACCAATAAGCTAGATTAGCGGCTGCTTAGGGCCCCAGGAAATCTGAGTGCCCCCAAATAAATACCTAGATGTTTAAATTATACCTTTAAATTATATGTAACATAATTTTCTATCATATATCATATGATGAGTGTAAAAAAAAAAGTTTAATGTTTATTACATCTGCGCAAATGTGCCCACCCCCTCAATCATGGAGTATTCCAGCAGTCAAATTAGGTAAAGATTCAGTTTTAAAAATTAAATATTTTATATAAAATTTTAGTTGTGAATTCATTTTAAGAAAGCAAATCATTTCAACAGTTTTACAAGATGCTTTACATGTGTTATTATTATTTTGCATTAAGACAAAATGTAGAAAAGGAGTGATGGAGTGATATAAGAAAAACAGCTAAATAAATCAATTAAAAATAAATTAAAATAGAAAAGGTGCATAATTGCTTAGGACCCTCAAATCACTAAATCTGCCCGTCTGTATATTTAGCAATTATATATAGTTTTATTAGAATTATTAGCACACTTGAATTATTAGCTCCCCTGTATATTTTCCTCAAATTCTGTTTAATGGGGATTTAATAACTGATTTACAATAACTAATTTCTTTGACATGATGACTGAATATAATATTTTACTAGATATTGTTCAAGACACTAGTAATGAGCTTAAAGTGACATTTAAAGGCTTAACTAAGTTAATTAGGTTTATTAGACAGTTAGGGTAATTAGGCATTAGGTCATTGAACCACAGTGATTTATACTATAGATAATCTAAAAAAAAATATTGCTTATTGGAGATAATAATATTGAACTTAAATATACAATATATAACAAAAATAGAAAAAAAATATTATGAGAATCACTATTCCTTGCTCTGTTAAACATAATTTGGGAAATATTTTATAAATAATAAATATTGCACATTGCACAGGAGGGTAAATCATTTTATATACTCACTGGTCCACTTTATTGGATACACCTTCCTGGTAGCGTGTTGGACCCACGTTTGCCTTCAGAACTGCCTTAATCCTTTCTGGCATAGATTCAACAAGGAACTAGAAATATTCCTCAGAGATATTGCTCCATATTGACACGATAGCATCACCCAGTTGCTGCAGGCTGCATATCCATGATCTTCTGTTCCACCACATCTCAAAGGTTCTCTATTGGATTGAGCTCTTGTGACTGTGGAGGCTGTTTGAGTACTGCAACCTCATTGTCAAGTTCAAGAAAACAGTCTGACATGATTTGTGCTTTATGACATGGCATGTTATCCTGCTGGAAATAGCCATCAAAGGTTTGGTACACTGTGGTCATAAAGTGATGGACATGGTGAGCAACAATACTCAGGTAGGCTGTGACGTTGACACAATGCTCAATTGGTACTAATGGACCCAAAGTGTGGCAAGAAAAAATCCCCACACAGAACTGCGGCTCATTGGATATTTTCTCTTTTTTGGGCAATTCTCTGTAAACCTTAGAGATGGCTGTGTGTGAAAATACAAGACCAGCTCATCTAGCACCAACAACCATGCCACGTTCAAAGTCACTTAAATCACCTTTCTTCCCCATTCTGATGCTCGGTTTGAACTGCAGCAGATCGTCTTGACGCTGGATGTGTCTATAACCGCCTACTACTCAGTTGGTACTGCATTTGAATTTAAACGTACTACTCGTTTGTTAGAAAAATGTGTCAGTTGCGTCGCTTCACTCCCATTCATGAATTCACTCACCAGGCATCATGGGATAGCGCAGCATGCATGGGATGCGCACTTCAGAATCTCACCGGAAATAATAAGTCATCCGGGTACTCGCATACTGATTTTTGAATTCTATGAATTCGGACATACTACTCTGCTCGCATACTAATTTTAGCGTACTATATTCTATGGAAGTATGCAGTATCGGACGCAGCCCATGTCTACATGCCTAAATGCATTGAGTTGCTGCCATGTGATTGGCTGATTAGAAATTTGCATTAACGAGCAGTTGGACAAGTGTACCTAATAATGTGGCCAGTGAGTGTAAAAAGGATACATTCTCCCCAAAGGATACATCTCCATCCATATCATGTAATTGTGCAAATGTTTTTTTTGACCCTGGATTAAATTTTCAATTATATTTTAGGATGCAAAGGTTAAAATTACATCAAATTTAAATATATTTAAAATGTGTAAAGATATTTAATTGTTCCTCACATTTATTTATATTTGAAATAAATATTGCCATAAATTATTTTATTTTATTTTATTTACCATATGGTGGAAAACATCTTTTAGAGCACGTCTGGTGCTTTTTAATGTTCTATTAAAATAATTTAAAGTGCAGTTTTGGTCCAGATGCACATCGTTGTTCTTGTAACTTTATGCATTGATTTTTTGTAATGTCACAGGTGGACTGGCTAAAGAACGAAGAGCTCATTGACCCGGCGCTGGATTCTAACTTTCTAATTACCATCGAGCACGACCTGATCATCAAACAGGCTCGACTCTCTGACACTGCCAACTACACCTGTGTGGCACGTAATGTGGTCGCTAAGAGACGCAGCAGCACTGCCACTCTCATCGTCTACGGTAACCACTTGACCAATTGCAGTCCCTGCATCAGTCTGAGTCACTGAGTGCACAAGTCAAGGGCTAATTCGGAAAACAGGAGAACTACAATCACCACTCGAGTTTATGAATATTTATAACATGGCTATCTGAAATACTCGCTACTTATTGGTCAGCTCTGGTATTCGACAGTCTGTAATGGTTGTTGTATTAATATATGACTATTTGCCTACTTGTGCTTATATAAATATACACTCACAGAGTTGAAATTGAAACTGATGTTAAATTGTAGTTCTTTTTCAGATATTTCCAAGTGATTTTTAACATATCAAGGAGATTTTTATCAGAATTTTCTTTAATATTATTATATATTTAGTGAGTATTTCCTATAAATAAATTAAGACTTTAAATTGCACTTTAAGCTGAATACTAGTATCTTGCAAATGACTTATAAAACGTTATCTACTGACTCTTAGAAAATATTTGAATATTTTATTTTATTTTATTTTTTTGTATTTAAGACTAATTTAAAAGTAAATTAGCAAAGTTGTGATTTTTGAGTGCACAAAATTTTAGAATATATTATTGAATTGTTTATTTAATTTTTCTTTACTTTGCCTTAAAAATATCTTTTAAAAGTCTTGTATTTACTGTATTTTTTAACAAACAAATGAGTTTCACTTTATTTTGTAGGTCCCTTTAATGCATTTTGTTGAATTTAAGTTACATTGCATTTACATGCCAACTAATTCTCAGTAGTTTATAAGTAGACTGTTAGGTTGGGGTTAGGTTTAGTGTAGGTTGACATGTGCTTGCAAAGTTTCTTATAGTCAGTTAAATGTCTGTTAAAGGAGCAGTAACAACAGATATTAAGCAGACAGTCTACTAATACTCAAATAATAAGTAGTTGCAATGCAGCTTTTAGTCAACAAAATATGCAATAGGGACCATTAAAATAAAGTCTTAGCAATAAATGCAGTTTGAGGTGAGCATAAAAAACACTTTTTCAAAAATGACAACAAAACAACAAAATCCATTTTATTTACAGAATAGATTATATGAACACAAATTTATTCATTGTTCATTCATTATTTAAAATGTTTATTTAATAGTTTGCTATGTTACATGGTGTTTAGTGCATAAATAGTGGTAATAATTGTAATAAAATACATAAATCTTCCTGTCAGAGGTTTATACAGTATTCTTATAATGACCAACAGTATGATATCCCTCAATTAATGCACAACGTGTTTACTTTTGTATTCAGACTTGTGTTAAATTTTTATTCTTTCATTTTTCATTGACTGTTTCAAACATGCTCCATTCTATTCTAATTAAACTGCATGCCAATGTAAACATATCTGATTAATATCTGATCCTGTATTAATAATATGTGTCTCTGGCTGTCTGGTATTAGTAAAAATCCTTCAAATATGACACAAAGGGGTTACTTTTGCATGCTTGCTTGTATTTGTTTTTTATTTTTCTCATTTTCCAAACACTATTTCAAACATTCTCCCTTCTCGTCAGATCTCATCGATTGCCTAAATTCACTGAGAAATGGATAAAAATATTCATTTTCAAAATGGGGTGTACTCAATTATACTGAGCACTGTACACATTCTTGATAAGCTGTATTAATAGTATTTGTCTCTGGCTCTCTGTTATTAGTAAGTGGAGGCTGGTCATCCTGGACAGAGTGGTCAGAATGTAATGCTCAGTGTGGGCGGGGCTGGCAGAGACGGACACGCAGCTGCACCAATCCAGCACCACTCAATGGAGGAGCCTTCTGTGATGGACCGCCCTTCCAGAGAGTCACCTGTACCACCCTCTGTCCAGGTAAACGCTCAACACAAATTCACCCCTGTAACCTTTGACCTGAGCCACTGTGTAATCACTGATGTGTTTTCCTAGTGGATGGAGGCTGGACCGAGTGGGCCAAGTGGTCTGCGTGTGGGACGGAGTGCACACATTGGCGCAGTCGTGAATGTCAGGCTCCACCGCCACGTAATGGAGGACGACACTGCAGCGGCAGCATGATGGAGAGCAAGAACTGCACTGAGGGATTATGTGCACGCAGTAAGTCATGTGATTCAGCATCATCAGTGGGAAAATGTCTTGGAATGTTGGTCTGGATATCATATTAACAAGTGGCAGATATGGAACTGGTCCACACTGGGGTTATTGCTGACTGTCAGCAAAATGTCAATATTGTTTTGTAGTACTGTAGAAATAATTGTATTCTTAATTAATAATTGTATTTTTTTCAAGTGCAAAAATGTGCAACGTTTCTTTTTACATTTAGTTTAAATGTAGTAAGTTAACAAATTTGACATAAACAAATCTGTATTTCAGCTATTTATAACTTTAAAATATTTATAACTTAAAAAGAAAGATACATATTTGATGCATGAAATAAACAATATACTAAAATAACTATACTATTAATTAAAATATATATATTTTAATTACAAAAACTGCCCAATACCTTTGCTCATTTTCATTTAGTTAAACTTGATGAAGTAAAATAGTTCTTATGAAAATAAATTTTGAATATTTATATTTTAAATATTTACTAAATTAACTTATTTTATTTCATACATGAAATAATAAAAATTGAAAAAAACAACAATATTCATAAAAATATATGTATTTTATATTTCAGTTAAAGAATAAACTAAAATAACTATTCAATAATTAGTAAAATAACTTTTTATTTCCAAAAATTGCCCAATAACATTGCTCATTTTCATTTAGTTAAACTTGATATACTAAAATAATTATTATTGAAACAAATTTTGAATATTTTAATCTATAAAATAAATAAATTATATTATATTATATTGTGTTATATTATATTATATTATATTAAATTATTACATCCTTTACAAAAACAATATTAAAATTATTTAGTTTAACAATGTATTAAATCAATTTAAATAAGTTTATTTTATTGTATTAAAATATCTAAAACTAAAACTGAATTTTGAAAACTGAAAAATGTTGCTAAAATTATATACACATTAAAATCAACACAAACACTTTACATTAAGGTTTAATTAATTGATGTATTTACTAAGATGAAATGTAAGTCATGAAGTAACATAAAAGTAAAGTCGTTCACCATTAGTTCTTTTTAACTAATGTTAACAAGCATAACTTTTAATAATGCATTAGTAAATGTTAAACTAAAATCCTGTACTAGCATTGTTTATTTCTAGTTAATGTCATTAAATGCGTTAACTAACATGAATAAATGAAACTATAAATTATAATCTTTTATAAAGTGTGTTGGACTCAACATCCTCAGAGAATAAGTTAGTTCAGGGTTCTGAGCACAGATGGACAGGAGGGTAAACGGTGAGGTTTGGTCAGTCAGACAAATGTAGTTTTAAACCTAGCAAGTGAAGAAGCACATGAGCTGTGTGACGGTGAGCCAGATTCATGCTGACACTGGGTGCTCGTCCCAGAGCTGCTTTTGGAGGAGCGCAGCTGACAGCATTGAATTATCCCAGGAGAACATGATAGCAAACTCACACTCTCACATATGCACACACTGTTCAGCAAGAACACTGCAGGTTTAGTGCACCCTGTCTTGGTTTCAAGTTTGAGCACAACCCATATTCTAACATTAATAATGCAACATAGACACACACACACACACACACACTTACTTACACTGGTCAAAAGTTTGGGAACGGTACAATTTTAAATGGTTAAAAAGAAGTCTTTGAATGGTTTAAAAAGAAGGTTCTGCTCACCAAGGCTGCTTTTATTTGATAAAAAATACAGTCAAACTGTAACATTGTGAAATAGAGTATTATTTAAGTTTTAAATGCCAGTTTTCTTATCAAATGTGGTTTAAAGTTTTATTTATTCATGTGATTCAAAGCTGAATTTTCAGAATCATTACTCTAACACACTTAGATAATTGCTTTTTTATTTTGGTCAATTACTATTGATAAAAATGTTTTACCTTGCTTCATAGTTTTGTGGAAACTGTGATGTAGTTCTTTTTTAAGATTTTTTACATTACAAATGTTTTTACTCTCATTTTTAAATACTTTAATATGTCCTTGATGAATAAATAACATTCATTATAATACATTTTCAGTGGTATTTTTGAATGGTACCACATCAGTTTCCACAATTTTTAGTATACAAAATAATTTTGATTGAATTGAATTTTTTGAGCAAGCAGAACAGTGGCTCAGTGGTTAGCACTGTAGCCTCACAGCAAGAATATTGCTGGTTTGAGTCTGGAGTTTGCATGTTATTCCCATGTTTGTGTGGGTTTCCTCTGGGTGCTCCGGTTTCACCCACAATCCAAAGACATGCGCTATATGTGAATTGATAAACTAAATTGTCTGTAGTGTATGAGTGTGTGTGTAAATGAGTGTAAAAGGGTGTTTCTCAATACTAGGTTGTCACCGGAAGTGCATCCGCTGGGGAAAGCATATGCTGGAATAGTTGGCAATTCATTACGCTGTGGCAACCTCTGAAAAACAGACTAAGAAAATAAATGAATTAATGTTTTCTGAGCAGATGTTCATCATATTATAATGATTTCTGAAGCATAATTTGCCACTGCATCTGGCAAGAATCTGCCTTTGCCTTAGTCTCTGCATTGTCTTCTCTCCATCAGGTGACAGTATGTACATTTAAACTAAATCTAGTCAATTTACAATATTTAATTGAAACATTTAATTTCAGTTAGCTTTTAACAATAAAACAAACAAACAAAAGGTCACATTAAAATGATAATCTCTAAAACATCCCCATCCTTCTTACTCTCTTGTCAGATAGGATGGCTGGCCAAATCAAAGGTTACCATGGGCCAACTTTGACCTCGAGACCCTAGTTTGAGCATCTCTGCTCTAGAACATTCTATCTTTTGAGAGCTGCAAGATGTTTACTTTTGCTGCATTATAAGCCATAAAAATATGATTTCAGTTTATAATCCTCAGTGCTTCATTTGCTGAGTTTTGTGTTTGCATTGATTGACTATTTGTTCTGTATTCATTAGCATTCATCTCTGAGTTATGCTCATCCATTCTCATGCTCATTCTTTCTTGTTTTTCTTTCTTCTTTGTTTTTTGTTGCCTTTTTTTCTAACAGATAAAAAGGTTTCTGTTGAACATACAAGCCATCGTAAGTTTTCATTTTATTAACAGTGGTTTTTATTAGACACTGTTACCTCCACTTTTCCCTCTATCCCTGTGCTTTTGTCTTCCTATGTGATTATGTCTGGGAAACACAAAGGAATAGTGACTGGAAATCTTAATTTAGAAAATGCACTATATAAATGTTTGTATGGCTCATGTTTCGCTCTTTTATTTCTGTCTATTTCATTTCTGAATATGGCGCATACTTATACTGTATGATATCTAGTTAAAGTCAAAATCATTAGCCCTCTAAAAAAAAATTTCTTTTTCATATATTTCCCAAATGATGTTTAAAAGCGCAAAGGATTTTTCATAGTATTTCCTATAATATTTTTTTTCTGGAGAAAGTCTTATTTGTTTTATTTTATTTGTTTATATGTAAGGTCAATATTAGCCTCCTTAAGCAATATTTTCCTTTTTCGAATTACCTAATCATCCTAACTTGCCTAGTTAACCTAATTAACCTTGTTAAAATATCTAGTAAAATATTATGTACTGTCATCATGGCAAAGATAAAAGAAATCAGTTATTAGAAATTAGTTATTAAGACTATTGTGTTCAGAAATGTGTTGAACAAAATTATTTCTGTTAAACTTAAATTGGGGAAAAAATATACAGGGGGGCTAATAATTTAGGAGGGCTGAAAATTCTGACTTAAACTTTAACTACATGAAATTAATTGAAACCATAAAAAGAGGACAACCTCTTAAAGTAAAATAAAAATATAGAAAAATATAAAGATCATAAAATTATCTATTTATAATATAGGTCAGAGTTTGCATGTTCTCCCCGTATTTGCATGGGTTTCCTCCGTGTGCTCCGGTTTTCCCCACAGTCCAAAGACATGCGATACAGGTGAATTGAATAAGCTAAATTAGCCGTAGTGTATGTGAGTGTGTGCAAGAGTGTGGGGGTGTTTCCCAGTGTTGGGTTGCAGCTGGAAGGGCATCCGCTGCGTAAAACATGTGCTGGATAAGTTGGCAGTTCATTCTGCTGTGGCAACCCCTGATTAATAAAGGGACTAAGCCGAAAAAGAAAATGAATGAATGAATGAATGAATATGTCATTTATTAATTGTTATTTTATTTATAAATTCAATTTTCCACTTCCAATTTATTTACGTATTAGTGTCTATTTTAAAGTCATCTTATGACATTTTTAAATTTTTCATAACTCATTTTAATCAATTAAATACATATACTTGAAATGTGAAATTAAATATTGTGAAAAATATACATCATTTCTAACTGACCACTGTAAACAGGTGGAGATGCGTATTAGATTAGAGCGGGCTGCCCAAACTTTTTCTCATGAAGGGCCAAAATCCAAGCTTGATTGAGAGCTTTGGGCCGAAAGTAAATATAGCAAACCATATTACTGTACATTACAAGTGCCATGGGTAATTTCTTTATACGTTTCATAATAATTAAAAATAAAATAAAAGATTACTTCAACCGTATTTACTAATACATTAAAATTTAAACTTTGCATTTTGCATGCTGATGTCTTCTGATTTGTCCCTTATTCATTAAGTGACTCTATGTACATTTAAAAAAAATCTTTTTCATTTACAACATTCAATTAAAACATTTAATTTCATTTTTGTTTTTCATAGCTAAACAATAAAACCAACAGACAAAAGGTTACATTAAAATAAAACTGAGAATCTCTGTTAAAGGCATTCCCAACCCTTCCCAATCATATTCCCTCTGGTGGCCCAAATTAAAGACTACAAAGGAACAACTTTGGCCCGCGGGCCCTAGTTTGGGCATCTCTGGATTAGAGTCTAAATGTAATTATTTATTTATTTTTATTTAACTGGCTAGGTTTCTATATAGCTTTAGCATTGAACAGTATCACTTGGCTGTCATGGAATATTCTGTGGTCTTGGTCATTAGAATATTCAAAATTTAGTGGCAAATAATCCCAGACTTTTGTCTCACACTCAATAATATTATAAAATATATACAAATTTGTTTTACACTAGCTAATTCTACATTGCTTATATGATTTGTAAATACACATGCTCAGAGGGAAATATGCATACCCATTCCTGGAAGTTGATGGAAAATATATATGCAATCTTGGTTCAGAAATAGAGTGCCTTTTGAAGACGTTGAAGTTAATGAATGTGCATCTTACTGGCCCAGAGCAATCGATCGTGTAGCTTACAGTTCAAGTGATGCTAATTTTCTGAGATCAATGTGACATTCAGTACTTGAGAGACCAAAAAGTAACACACCTAATTCTCCTTGCTTCCGTTTGCTATAATAAGTTAAGACGGCTGTCAGATTCACTTCTTTCCTTTTGCCCACTCCCTCTCTCTCTCTTCACACGCATCTGCTCTCTTCCTCACGTTTTTCTCCTGTGTGTCTCTTGGGTTCTGCACCTGTGTGAGCACCTCTGTCTCTCTCTTCTTTCTTCATAAAGCCTTTTCATAGTGTACCATTGTGTGTAGATATAGTACTTAATACAGTGAGGGCTGATTCTGAATGGGAAAAAAACACAGGGATCAGAAGTCAGAGAGGAAAGTCCTACACTGCACTATTAGATTCACAGCATTATTATTATTATTATTATTATTATTATTATTATTATTATTATTATTATTATTATTATTATTATGTTGAACAGGACCCAAATGTAACATAAAGTATCCCCTGAAAGTTAACTTAAGGAGAATGTACATTATCCTGCTTATTACACACCTACTGTACTTGCCACATAATTAAATTTTAAAGTCGGCATGAAATCAAAATGTACAATCCTTTTTTTTGCCAGTGCACATTGTTAGTTCTAAGATAAACAGTTAATTTATGCTTTTTAATCCACTTAAAACAATTTGATTTTGTAATCTTTAATCTATATCTAACCATTTGCTTTAGCTCTAGAACGGCAGGCCTTCTCTGATGATGTCCGTTTGACGGCTTGGACAAAATATGGTTAGTCACGCCTCTACAATCGTTAGTTTGCGATGAGTGAAAGATGAGAGGAGGTGTGCAAAAATAAAGCCCCTCCCTGCTACCGAAGTCTCTTTAAGACAGGGGTGTCCGAACTCGGTCCTGGAGGGCTGGTGTCCTGCATAGTTTAGCTTCAACTTTCTTCAACACAGCTCGCTGAATTTTAGGAATCATTAATAAAATCAAACATCTACAGTCTCTTTACTTTCATTTCTAAACATTCCCCTAAAATTTGCAGAAACTCACGTATGGTCCGAGACCCTCCCCCGGAGTATGGTCAGTCTATAGCAATCGATGATTGGCTCCTGTACAGAAAATGCGGGCTTTATTCGCAATATAGCGATCAATGATTGACTCCTGTACTAGTAGGCAGGGCTTTATTCACCATATTGACCGTTACAATGTTCTCCATTTGCAATGATATGAGTGACATGTTTTGTGTATTCAAGTCTGTGTGACATGTCTTGTGTATTCTATAGCTACTCAGTATTTCGTTAAGGAGATAAGTCCACAGCAACTTTAACTTTAACATTAAACTCACTAATGGCCAACTTCCACAATGAAAAAAGAGCTACTAATGAGAGGCTGGATGTACCTAATTCTGCTACTTGTTGTATTATTAAATAATTGTACACAAGATTAGGGATATCTCTATAATCTTTTAAAGGGGTGGTCCACTATGATATCCTATTTTAAACTTTAGTTGATGTGTAATGTAAATGTGTAAACATTAGCAACATCTCTGAATGTAATGTACTCAAAGTTCAATGCAAAGGGAGACATTGGCTTTTACGGAGTTAGCTTAGCAAAGCCTATGGTGAAAGAAGTTTGGGGACTACAAAAAAGTACATCCGGGTTTGTGAGATCACAAGGGCTTCAGGTTATGCACATTCACCACGCACATACACCCCACACAGAAAAGGGACGTGGCCAGAGGCGCTATAATGCTATAGCAGAGAAAGCTAAAATGGCATCCGAACGCTGCTCTTTCCACAGAGCTTCTTCTGTTTCTGTATTTACGCTTCCAAAGGACATGACACAAAGAGAGAAGTGCTTTTAATTTAATTTTAATCATGTTCTAGGGAATTATAAAAATATATAGCTCTAGCATTTGACAAAGGACATCTTCCAGAATCTTTCCCAGTTCAGTGCTGGATTCATCTAAAGCTCCTCAAAGAAGGAGCAGCTCCAACCAAATAAAATATAAAATATAATATCTAAAATCTGAATCTGTGACTGGAAGGGCATAAGCCACGTAAAAACATATGCTAGTAATTGGGTATTGAGTAATTGGTGGTTCATTCCACTGTGGTGACCCCTGATAAATCATGGACAAGCCAAAAGATAGTCAGTGAGTGAGTAAAATCTTTATTCAGAATTAGAATCCTCTTCTCTACTTTTGAGTTCTGAATCCCAAAATGCTAAATCTGTTAAATTCTCTTCTCCTTTTTCAAAGCTTTTATACTTCATTTGATCACAGTTTGTGTTGTGTAATGTAGTCATTGACATCGATGACAGATTAGTATATACGTGTGATTTTGTACCTGTGTGTGTGTGTTTCTCAGCTCTGGGCTCTGGGACTGGTGTCGCGGTGTACGCAGGGCTCGTGGGAGCTCTGCTTCTCTGTGTGATCCTGGTGTTGTGTGTGGGGATTCTGGTCTATCGCCGGAGCTGTCGCCATCTTCACGGTGAAATCACAGATTCGTCATCAGCCCTCACTGCTGCCTTCCACCCCGGCAACTACAAACCTCCACGACAGGGTGAGACATCCACGCTTCCTCACTTCTACTTTCTGTTTTTATTTCTCACTGCTCTCACCTCTTCAAACCCAATATAAACTCTTTCTTTTTCAAATGTGCGTTCAGTCATAATCCCCTCTCCTGCTGTCACCTACTCTCTCAAAACTGTTGAAACTTGTTTATATGGCTCCCCTTTTAAATCCTCTCCTCTTTAATACTCTCATTTCTTAGGCAAATCCTCTCAGAACTTTGAAGCTAGCCAGAAACTTTTCCTTTTCTCTTCAGTTTAATTGTATTTTACTGCTAAAATTAGCAATGATTAATAAACAGTCAAAATATATTCATCGTTTTTTTTCTGTTGCATTAACTAATTTAATGTATTAATGCATTAACTAATGTTGACAAACCATACTGAAAATGAAAAACAAACTATATATCTATTAGTAGTAGTAGTAGTAGTAATAGTACTAGTACCGTAGTAGTAGTAGTACTTTTATTTCAGACTCTTTGTTCAAATCCAAAAACATAACACATCACGAAATACAAAATAAATAAATAAGTAAAATACAAAACAACACATAGGGCTCTATTTTAATGGTCAAGGCTCATAGTCTAAAGTGCATGCTGCAAAAGCATTAAGTGCATGTCTGAGTCCTTATTCTTTTAATGAGTCATGGGTGTGTTTTAAGCATAACGTACATTGAACCAATCTGAAGTCTCATCTCACATTCCCTTTAGGAGTCAGTTGTGTCACGCCGTGGCTACAATTGCTATTTACATGGTGGACTTTGTAAGAAGAAATACAAAATGTTTTATTTGCAATATAATAAAACATTACAAAGCGTCTGTAACGCGAGGATAAAGAATGAGCCACCTCTATTAAGCCTCGTTACTTTCTCTTTACTTTTACTTTTTACTTTAATCTTTTACTTTTGTGAATAAGGAAACAGTGTTGTTTGCACTTCACTGAAGACATCTATAAGCCTACATATTTAATTTAGTTTGTTAAGCGCAAAAATTTTTTTCAAAACTATTTCTTAATTCAGTTCTTATTTCCAGCAAACAAATAAATGAACAATAATAATAAAATGTTGGCCAACAGCACATTCTATTTCCTGTCTTCAAAATAGCAATGTGCCAACAATGCACCTTACCACTTCTCCTTTTTAGACCGGAACTCCCATGAGTCCACAAAGTGGCGCAAATAGGTTTGCTATTTAAACAACGTGGAGAAAAATGTGAAAATTATGGTTGCGCTGGTCTGAAAATGGCAACAAATCACACTAAACATGTCCTGCGCATAATCCCATACAAACATGCAAACATTTATTCCAATGCTTCCAATACCAGGAGTGGTACTTAGTATCACTTAAAGCGGGATTATTTAAAATCTTAATAATTGTATTTCTTGAGATATTCACTCAACACAAAATTATACATAAATTTCCTTAACACAGCATGAAAAGTGTGAACAATAATATATTATACTACGTATAGTAATGTTGCTTTTTTAACAGTTTATGTGCTTCTGTTGCATTCATTTGTTAGTTGTTTTGTATAAAATCATCTGCTAGGTGTAGATATAATTTTAATTGTAATCTAACATTAGCAAATTCTATTAATAAATAGGCAGGGACGATAACCGTTTTCAAGGTATACCATGGTTTGGAAAAGTCAAGGTTTTAAAACTGCAAAAATTTTCTGTAATACTGTTCCTAAGGTATGTGTACGTTGTTTTTTTGTTTTTTTTTTTTTTACATATTTACAGCAGAAAAAATATGCAAAAGATGGTGTTTTAAATCTGTGTTTTTGAAACAAATAAAGACAGCAGAAGTCAATGATTCACTTGAGCTATTTAGCCTGACGTGTACTGTTCCAAAATATTTTAAATCTTTTAAAAAATAAAATATAATGTGTTCAAAGAGATAAACGGTTTTTGTTTTTTACCAAGACATTTAAAAAGAATATATTTTAGAGCAGTAATCACGATACTGTGAAACCAGGATATTTATAAGGTTATCATACTGTCAGAATCTTATTCCAGCCCATGCCTATTAATAAATACATTATATAACTGATGTTTTCAACCCTTGTTGTGTAATATTGGTATTTTTGAAAACTTTTGTACTGATTCAATTTTACTTTTTACTTTTGGCAGATAATCCACACCTCCTGCATCCAACAGCTCCGCCTGACCTCACAGCCAGTGCCGGAACTTTCCGCGGGCCACTTTTCTCCTTACAACAGGCTACACTGGACTCGCACCACAAGATCCCCATGACCACGTCTCCTTTGCTTGACCCTCTTCCCAGCCTGAAGATAAAGGTGTACAACTCCTCTACCATGTCCTCCTTGGAGCTGCCGACCGGCCTGGGGTCTGTTGACGGGGATATCATGAGCTTGAAGACTGTTGGCTCTGGACCTAAAGATCATCATGGCCACACGCTGCCCAGGGAGCCCAGTCACAGCGCCAGTGCCACGCTGGGCTCACTGGGTGGCCGTCTCACCATCCCTAATACAGGTAAAAGGATTTCAAAAAGCTGGATTTTACCTTTTTATAGCCAATTATTTGATTTTGTCACATATGGTTGTCAAGTCCACTTATGTTAAATGAATGAATGAATCAATCAATCAATCAATCAATATAGATCGCTAGAAGTTTAATTTTGCCTGTCAAGACCTGATTCAGGTAAATCAGGTCATAATAACTGCTTTCAGCCACTTTATTAATGTTATGTAAGAAGCCAATCGTGCTATTCTGAAATATTACAATTCAGAAATTTCAGCAACATTACTCTAGTCTTCAGTTTGTACGTTTACAAGGACACCATTAATCTGATTTTAATGTGATTAAGACTATTCTCTGATTAAGAGTCTACCATATAAACAGTGATTTTTGATTCATTTAATCAGATTAAGGTCATAAATAAACTAAACAGAAATGGAATTAAAACATGTGGATTATGCCAATTGTAGTCGCATTATTGAAGTGCAGTACATGCATGTAAACACTGCAATCAAACTACTGTATTACCGTCATGTAGGATTTTCGCCGCATTTTGAAACAGGATAGTCTATACACACAGGGCTGTTTGACACAATTCTCTTCATCTACCGAGTCAGTGAAGGACCACAGACACCTGCATTGCAAAACAAGAAGGTTTTTACTCCCATTCGGCATGCGGTGTCAACTTCCATTAAAAACTACACTCTTCCACCATAAAAGTGAATTTGCCAAACAGCAAGTAAAATCGACACATTAAAAATGAAACACCTGAAATTATATGAAACTCCGTGTATGAGTGTGAATGAGTGTGTGTGAACAGTTCCCAGAGATGAGTTGTAGCTGGAAGGACATCCGCTGCATAAAAATGTGCTGGATAAGTTGGCGGTTCATTAATAAAGGGACTAAGCCGAAAAGAAAATGAATGAATGAATGAATGAATATCTTTTACTGTTCTAAAATATCTGCAAACATTTTATAGCTGTATTTCTCATATTACAGTGCAGAGCTAATTTAACTACATATTGAATCTGTTAAGTTAAAAATACATGTCTATTATTCTTCCTCTGCTCCCCTTTTCTGCTGTTAGGGGTAAGCCTGCTGGTTCCACCCGGGACGATTCCTCAGGGCAAGTTCTACGAGATGTACCTCATTATCAACAAATGGGAAAAAACAACGTAAGTCAGACTCTTAAAACGGCTTTTCAGTGCCCTGCCCTCATCACACTGTCATTTCCCAACACATAACACTTGCATTTATCTGTCACTTTGAGCAGATGCAAACAATCCAGTTCAAAACACCCTGACAGCCCTTGCTGAGCAATATTGACTGCAAAACCATTGTGACCCCAATGGCAGCACTTGGGAGGAAATAACATTTCAAAACTATGACACAGCAGAAAAAACACAAACAAACAAATATGTCTTGAAAAACAGTGAACGGTTGTCTGAGCTTTGACTTTTTTGCTGAGGCTCTATTTTTTTAACAGTTTTTGTTTTTATTGTCAAATATGAAACATATAAATTTCACCATGCCTTTAGAGCTTTCAGCTGCAATAGTGTTTCTCACTAGTTGGAGGTGCCATACATTTTCTCCAAACATAAACAATTTGTCACACATTCTAGTCTTTTGTGCTCATGTGGCCAAAAGAGTTTCAGTCTATCTTGTAACATTTCTGCTCATGATCCTGCCATTTTTCCTTTCCACTGTCCTCGTAAATAAAAAATACTTTAAATACCGTCTTAAAACCGTATTTTTATTTTATTTTATTTTGTTTTATTCTGTTAATTCCAGCTGGGTTAAATCTGGTAATATTCAGATTTGATTCTCTCATAAATTTTATACAATAATATTTTATGCAGTATATATATGCGAGAGTTTGTGGGCATGCATGGAGATTTTTAATGCATTATGAGGGCTAAATATGCAGAATTTCAGTGTTGCCGTAAAGTTTACATCTTTCTTTTTTTTTATTTAGCTTTTATTGAAATTAAATGGATTCTGTGTCAAATTATGCTTTTAAAAAAATGCCACAGAGTACGGTGGCATCTTACAATCGTTGCAGCGTCCAAATACATTTTGCATGCTGAAAATCACCACGGCTTGAATGTCAATGTGAATTAAGGCTGCTGAACTGTGTCCCTCTGTGTTTTTGTTGTCAGGTTGCCATCAGATGGTAGTCAGACAGTATTAAGTCCGGTGGTGAGCTGCGGACCCTCAGGCATGTTGTTGAGCAGACCTGTGGTCCTCACTCTGCCCCACTGCGCACAGCTGGAGCCCCCAGACTGGACCCTCACCCTCAAAATGCAGAACCATCAAGGTGCTTGGGAGGTAAGGATGATGGGAGAGCTGACATCATGGAATATTGACAAAAAAAAACATGAATGTGGAGAGGTAAGCATGATCGAATACCCAATAAAGGGGGAGAGCATGCTCAGAGCCCGGCGGCTAATCAGCAGGCCAATCCGAAATAATAAGCAACACCTATTTATTCTAGTGATTGGGCCGGAGAGACACCCGTCTTAAGGAGAACGGGAGGAACAGTAGGAAGAGAGAGCTAAGCGACGACCACCCAGTGGGAGCTGTCCTTTACAGTTCATAAGAAAAAAATAATAATCTGTTACTTACCTCAACGCCGACCCTGTCTTCTTCTTCCCACACAAAGAACCTTTGTTACAATGAAGAATCAGGGTGGGAAATGAGAACATCAAGACGAAATGGTTTTAGGTAATAGTTATGTGAATGATTGATCTTAAAGGGATTGTTCACCCAAATATATACATTTAGGGCTCTATTTGAACAATCTTGGTGCAAAGTCTAAAGCGCAGGGCGCAAAAGCATTAAGGGCGTGTCTGAATCCACTTTTGCTATTTTAAGGATGGAAAAATATGGTTTGCGCTGCAGCGCATGGTCTAACAGGGTTGAGCTTATTCTCTTTATGAGTTATAGGTGTGTTTGGAGAATAAACCAATCAGAGTCTCATCTCCCATTCCCTGTAACAGTCAGTTGCATCGTGCCATAGGGCATTTGCTATTTACATGGCGGACATTGTAGAAAAACTTAACGCTTCACTAGCGAGAAAACAGTTAAACAGACCATCTGCAGCGCGAGGATAAAGAGCCTCCTCCATTCAACCTTTACTTTCTCTTTCTCTTTCTGTCTTTCGTAGATCAGAAAACGGTGTTGTACACTCTACTGAATACATCCATTAGCCTACATAATAAATTTTGTTTGTTAAGTGCAAAGATTAGTTTCAAAACTATTTTTCTAAATTTAGTTCCAGTTTCCAGCAAATGAATAAATGAACAATAATAACGAAGTGTGGTCAAATAGTTATATCCAAACACACGTGCAATGCCCCATATGGTCCAAAACCTGACAGGTGGACAAATCTAAGCTTTTTTTTATAAAAAAAATATAAATATGTATATAATAAATGATAATAATAACATTATATAAAAGCAAGTTGTCATAAATAAACTGAAAAAATCCCCCCAAGATGAAGTAGTCATAGAGGCAGTGGCTTTTTATATTTATGTAGAAAATAATAATTGATGTAATATTTTTATCCTTTAATTCTTTTTCAGATGTGAAGATATTTGTGTATTGCTCTACATCCTGTGTGTTTAAAGCAATGTTTAAGGGAGGTGCACAACTGACGCGCTTTACGCTGGACTTTAGACCTGCTTTCAGCTGGTATATTGCACAGTCTATTTTAGTTTCTCAAAATAGCAAGGTGCCAACAATGCACCTTAACACACTTTTTTTTCTAGACCTGAACACCCATGAGTCTACAAAGTGGCGCAAATGGATTTGCTATTTAAACAACGTGGTGGAAAACGGGAAAATTAAGGTTGCGCTGGTCTAAAAATAGTAACACTTTAGAGCAAGCAGGTCTTGCGCCTTATTGCGCCGAGTGTATGATAGGGCCCTTATTCACTATTTTCTCTCCCTCAAGTGGTTCCTAACCTTTATGAGTTTATTTTTTCTGTTGAACAGAATTTTAGTTTGGAGAAATTATTTTGAAGAAAGCTGAAAACCTCTAACAATTGACTTCAAGAGTATGAAAAATAAGCCCTATGGAAGTCAATGGTTACAGGTTTTTAACATTATTCAAAAATACTTTCTTTAGTGTGTCTTTAGAAGAAAAACTCAAAAAGGTTTGGAACAAGTAAATGATGACTGAATTTTTATTTTTGGGGACCTATGCCTTTAATGGATGATAAGATCAGCAAAGATACTTGTTTAGGCTGGACTAAACAATAACATTTCAAGTGATGATAATTATCATGTTAAATGTCAGACCTCCGTTTCTTTTATTTCTTTCTCTATTTGGTTTAAAAGCACAGAATACATTTGTTTGTTGCTATGTAATTTTTGACCACATATTCACACATATCCGATGCCATGAGTGTGGAATCATAAGAGATGTCACCTGATTACATCATACAGGACTCATGTAGAAATCATGTTCATGATTGAGCTTAAGTATTCAAAACTTAGTATCATGGTAATAAGAAGCAGAGTATTGCTGAAAGTCCAGCTTGACATTCCAAAAAAGCATCCGTTTTATTATGCCACAGTTGACTGGTTCTTCCTTTCCTGATCATATGGGGAAGAGCCAGCTCTGTTTTATCATATTAAATACATTTTATGGATCTGTTATAATGCTGCTCTGTGCAGTGTTATAAAACACACAATGTTATAAAGTGTCTTTGATGTTTCCTTACTTTTTACAAAACAAAACTGGAAGTCAATGATGTATGACATCATTAGCGTGGCGACACACAAGACACAGTCTGTTTCACTAGTAAATATCTCTTTATTCTTTAGATTTGCTCCTTTTTTTTTTTAAATTGTTTGGTATAATCTAATTACACAAGTTAGCAAAATAAATAACCCAGTTCTAGTGCCTAGTGTAGAACCAGTTAATTGTTTATTTTAACAATATTTTTATTGTAAGTACATGTCAAATGCTTTAACAAGACATTTACATTTGTGTTTTTTGCTGTGCTTTGTTACTCTTTGGAGCTGTTCATATGAATGATTATAGCATGTGAACATTGCCAATCGAGCAGCGTTTAGTTACCTTTTAAGGCACAAACAATATATTGAATATTTATCAAACACATGTCAAGGATTTATTGTAAGATTATATTGCAATGATTATCATTATTGTTTTACTGCCTAGCTTCACATAATTAACATTTGAACAGTATTGCTTTAACTCCTGTTTTCCTCCCATCCACTAGGAGGTGCTGACTGTGGGAGAGGAGAGTCTATCGTCACCCTGTTATCTGCAGGTGGAGGAGCAGAGTTGTCATATCCTGATGGAGCAGCTGGGCACTTATGGGCTGGTGGGACAGTCGGCTCCTCCTCGGCCGGCCTGTAAGAGACTGCAGTTGGCCCTGTTTGCCCCTCGGGCCCCGTGCCTCTCTCTGGACTACAGTCTGAGGGTTTACTGCATACAGGACACCCCACATGCCCTCAAGGTTAGTCTGTCTTCCCTTCTTAACTAGCCATCTCATGTGTATTTGACCTGTGAATAAGCTATAATTCTGTGTTGTTGTTTTCTGCAGGAAGTATTAGAGGTTGAGAGAAGTCTGGGTGGGGTTTTACTGGAGGATCCCAAACCTTTGCTTTTTAAGGACAGTTACCACAATATGCGGCTGTCGATCCATGACATCCCTCATTCACACTGGAGGAGCAAACTCCTGGCTAAGTATCAGGTGAGAGACTTTATGCTGTTGTTGGTCATATGGTTATCCTTTTTTTAGTTAATTAACTTTTTATAATAAAGAATCAACAAAAATATTAACTTTCTCATTCTGTCACTTTTAAAAATACCTCTGTTTTCAAATCCCACTATTTTAAAATCTTACTTCCTGTCTAGTGATTTTCCCAGTAGATAAAATATTAAGTCCCACCCAACCTTTTCTTATTGAATATATCATAGCATATCATATCATATAATTTTATAGAATGTTTTGTTATGATTAGATTACGATGTGAGAACTTGTAAATTACATTTAATGTTGTGTTTAATTTTCAGGTTGAGATTTTTATTATTATACTTTAAATGAAAAATAAAGATGAAGGGAAGCAAATTAGTTTAAAGATGCTGTATGTAAGTTTTTGACTCTTCTAAAGCATAAAAATAGCATTATGCGTTTGCAGATATTTAAGAAACATGCCAAAAGGAACATTCTTGTTTATCTGAAAAACAATGCTGAAGTCAGATGTTCTGCTTTGAAAATGTCTGTTACGTGCTGGAATGGCTGTCTTTGTTTTCATTCTATTAATGCATTAATTTCAATTCCAGTTTAGCCAATTATATTTCAGCACTCCGTATTGCCTTGGTGAAAAACTGTGTATTTCATTCATTCATTTAGAAAGGCTCCCAAAGTATGCGCCCATGATCGAAACGTGACCTCCGGTGGTTTGCATTATTTCTACAGTTCTAAAGTTCCATTTCAAATGTTTTTTTTTGTTTTTGTTTTTTTTTTCAAAATCTGTGGTGAACTATCTGCTGCTGCTTTTAGTTGTATGGCAACAAGTAATTCAGCTGCAAAAAATAGAAAATATTAATCTGAAATATTAATTCCAGGTATTGGTTATATGGTCTTTTTACTATAGAAATATTCCTTCTATCGCATGACATTGCTTATATTTAAATGATGATGTAAATCAACCTTTAGGCTTTATGGTCAGGTACACGCCTGCTGGTTCTCAATCTAGCAACCTATGTTTTGATCCAAGAACGCAATACCTAGTTCAACCACTGGGTGTCAAATATTAGTACTGTCAATTGATTAAAAAATAACTAATTAATCACACTTTTTTAAATTAATCATGATTAATCGTGATTAATCACATTTAAAAGACGGAAACTTGTAATTTTGGCTATTCAAATGTAAAATTAATGTAAAAGCAAGACAAAAACTATTTAAATTCTAAATATAATTGTTTATTAGAATTTTTGTTTAACTTGTAACACAGATTTCTTCATGTAAACAACATACCCACAATAAACCATCAAGATCCATAAAGCACAGGCCTGTAAATGCCATTTGAATTTTAAAACAATCAATGCCTATTAGGGAAAAAAAATATTTCCAAGTTGAATTCTAAGTGGACTGCAAAAAAAGCCAAAATACAGGCATTGCAAATAGGAAAATGAAAAATTATAATAACAATAAAGTATTAAATACAAACAATTGCACTCATTGAAAAGTTGTATTGCTGTCAGTAGAGAACATTCATTCATTAAAAGGGACAATGTGGCCCCTATCTTTTGAATGATGTGAGCTGAGACTGCAACGCAATCTCATGGCAATTCATAACTTTTTGATTTAGTGGCTACGGACAACGACGTTTAGGCAGGTTTTTTGCTGGCAGGTTTGTTGCATGCGCACACACACAAATACAGACACACACACTCACAAACACACACACAACACACGTAGGACATGGCAACTAGAGCAACTCCCTTCAGATTCAACACGCATGATCACATTTATCAAATTTGCTTAAACTAAGCGTTCTAAAGTATGGCTGTATTTCACAAGGATTCTGACACAACGCAAAGCAGACACTTGTGTTTAAGGGGGAAACACATCAAACTTAATAAAACATTGGAAGGTGTGTGCTGAAAGGCAGAGGAATGCGCTGTCTTTGACTTCATTTACATGGGCACTCTGATTTTAATATGATTAAAAGTATACTCTTATTAAGAGTCTACCATGTAAGCAGCGATTTTTGATTACTTTAAAGGACCACCGAGTCATGAAATGCGGAAGTTTTCCTTTCTGTTTGTCATGCGTTATCAAATTCCATAAAACAAAAGTCGAAAGTTAAAAATGAAACATACGAAATTAGATGAAACTTTGGAGGAAACGCTGGAGAGCCTGGTAATGCGACATTAATTGTTTTATAGTGAAACTTGCCTTCAAAAAGTGCTGTCTTGGTCTTATCCATATTTCTTTGCATGTTTACTACACGTTGGCCACAACAGGAAATAAATAAAAAAAACTGCAACTGCATTAATAGCGTTTATTTTTATTTATTTTTTTTATTATTTCAAATTAATCACATGCGTTAATGCACTAATTTTGACAGCACTAATATATATATATATATATATATATATATATATATATATATATATATATATATATATATATATATATATATATATATATATATATATATATATATATATATATATATATATATATATATATATATATATATATATATATAATAACTAATAAGCACTAATAAATATAAATATAAATATATATATAAATATATTAAATATATATATGTGTGTGCAAAAATGTTGTTGGTTGTCAATCAATTACTAATCTCTCCCTCCACCACTAATCAGCTCACTATATAAGACTATGATTAGAGTCCCTACAAAGTGTACTACCCGAGAATTGAACTTACTTCACTTACTTCCCTGTTTATTCATAGATTCGCACATACTGTAGAATTACCTCTTAATCGTGTTTATTGTGTATTCCAGGAAATCCCATTCTATCACATTTGGAGTGGGAGTCAGCGGCCGTTGCACTGCACCTTCAGTCTGGAGAGAGGAAGCCTGGTGGTTTCCCAGCTCACCTGCAAGATCTGTGTCAGACAGGTGGAGGGAGAGGGACAGATATTCCAACTCAACACTGACATCCAAGAGGTACAGAAAAACAGCAGGGCATAAATGCATTATGTATTCTGTCAACTCACTCGTGTGTGATTTAATAACTGGCTCCAACTTATTTTTCTCTTCAGACTTTGCCGCCCCATTCACCATTGCCAGCAGGCGGTTCATGTCTGCCTTCGTCTCAAGTGGGCCCATATGCTTTCAGGCTGCCCGTCTCCATACGCCAGAAAATTTGTGCCAGTCTGGATGCCCCCAGTGCTCGTGGCTGTGACTGGAGAATGCTGGCTCGCAGCCTGGCCTTCGACAGGTATATTTTTGGATGCACTAGGAATGGGCAATAGGCAATTCTCCCCACGATAAGAATGAGTCCTCCAATGATAATAACAATGAAACCTATTTTCTGATAGTCTCTACAATCTGGAAGGTGTTTGGTCAGGGCTGTTGAGTGTGACAGTGTGCAGTGAATAAAATTTACTACACCAGCATGTGTTCCATACAGTTTAGGAGCCTGTTTACAATCAAAATAATTTACTGACATGCTTTTACTCCATATTCACTTTGTAACATCAGTCAAGTCTTTGAAAAAGTCTCGAAATCTTTATGAATCTTTTGTTTCAAATCAAGGGTTCGAAGTGTATATCAAATTGCCAAGGTCACATGATTTGAGTAAACTGCTTTGAAATGCATAGAAAACTCAGTGGTTCTCCACTTGGGGTGATCTCAAAATTCCACCTAAAGCCACAGTCATGCTACATTTTTTGTCCAATTGACTTGCACTCACTCCCTAACTTACTCACTCACTCACTCACTCACTCACTCCTTGTTATCTGGGGTCTTCCACAGCCAAATGAACCTCCAATTAATGTGAAAGATGTTTTACTGGCAGATGCCTTTCCTAGTGTAGAGTGCACTACCTTGTGAATGCCCAGTGAGGGGAAACACCCACACACTCTGCCATTTACACACACTTAAGGTGATTTTTTACTTCTATGTCAAGTGCACATGAATGGTCAGGGGGTGCCTTCCTCTAGTTGCATACCTTTCCCCATTGCCTAATGTGGACCCTGATGCACACCTCTCAAAAAATGTAACTACGAGATGTGGGCCTAGCGTAAGAACTGTGATTGGTTGTTTTGTTAGTACTGATACGAGTGAGCAGGGCTGAGAGCCATGGAAGAGGAGCGTGGCCGAAGTTGCAAGTCTTTAACAAGTATCTAGTCCTGTTGAGGAGATCCAAATGTATACTTTTGTTTCGTGATTACATTAAGATTAATGTTTGAGCTAACTGGACAGTAAGTTAGTACTGCATGCATTTCCAGTGTAAATAAAACACCTATGAAATAACTCAACACAGAAGAACATAAAATCACCTCTGTTATTGCAGAGCAACACAAACAGAACACAGAAATATAAATGCACAGCAACTTGCAAGGCATGCACCGTGGGTTACGGTGTTCACTTGAAACAGAACTATAATTCAGCCTTTATACATTAGGCAAACTATTTTATCCAATTTACCTACAGTATACCACGTCTTTGGACTGTGGAGGAAACTGGAGCACCTAGAGGAAACCTACATGGGAAGTACCATTCATATGCATGCAAATCAAAGTCTCTTTAAGGCAAGTCATTTTAATCGACGGCCATCTTTGAAAACCCTCTTGGGCAGTATGCGCGGGCATTAAGTTTGAATGGGTAAACATTGAGGTTTATTTATAAACTTATTTCGAGAGGATCACGTGCATAGGATTTACCACCGCTAGTCTCACATTAGCTAATCATGTTCTTCCAATCATATGATTTCTAAGATACTATAAATAACCACAGTCTTCAGTCCACATTTATCTTCAACTGGAAGAAACCCCCCCTTCCTCCCCATTCTCCTCCTTTACCTTAGATTGGGTGCCCCGGCGGCCCAGTGGTTAGCACTGTTAGACCGACAGCAAGAACACTGCCGGCCCTGGTACTCGCCAGGTCGGTGGATGTTTCTGTGAGGAGTTTGTATATTCTCCCCGTGTCCATGTGGGCTTCTCCCGGGTTCTCCAGTTTCCCCCACCATCCAAAGATATACACAATACATAACATATTTAGCAAATCAGACACTTGTCTAGCTCCCTTCTTTCTCAAGTGTTCCCTAAGCTACTGCGGCAGAGGAGTTTTTGAGATCCACCTGATCTCAAGCTCCCCTCTCGCTCTGCGAACCGGAGGGAGCCCTGGGCTCGAGGATCCCTTGAGCTCAGTGCTGTCTCCCAGGACAGCATGCCAAACAAGCTTTTGATAGATCATCAGCTAAGTGTGAACTTATGAAATTCTCCAAAATTGCTTGCCAAGCTTAGGATTGAATTTCATATTAGGAATCACTTATAAAATTAAACAACAACCATCTCTTGGTTTCATTTCTAAACGTTCGAATCATACAAAACCTGCAGAAACTCACGCCTGGTTCGAGCCCCTCCCCCAGAGAATTATCTGTCTATATTGATCACTGATTGGCTTCTTAATGAGTGGCTGGGCTTCATTCACCATATTGACCGTTAAACTTTTCTCCATTCAAAACTATACAAGTGACACATCTTGTGTTTTCTTTAGTCTTTGATGCAAATGCATCAGACTGGAAACGCAAACCCATACAGAAATATTTTAGATTTCGCTGCATAGCAAATAAGCAAAAAAAAAAAAAAAACTCTGACTGGAGAATTTGTGTCACAAGACCATTAGGTGATCATAACCTCACAGACCTACAGGAATTTCAAATATGGAGAAATGGGTCATTCTAGTTGTGTCACATCATCCTATTTTATCCCACTCCTTTTTGTAGCCCTAACTGAACAAATTTGGCATGCTCAAAGTCTAATGTGCAGCTTAAACCATGTGGGCTCAATGAGATCGTCCTCTAGATGTGAAACACTGAACCAATTTTATTGTTTTTAGCTGATCTTGGATCAGTTTTATGAGTTTGTTGACATTTTAATGAGACACTTGCAATATTGTAACAGTATCTTATTAGCTGAATGCATTTAGTACACTATGCGCAAAATAGAATGTTTGAAATGTGTTTGTAAAAGCTATTTTAATGTATGTTTATCTGATTTTTATGGCTTAAACTATACTGTATCATGTTTGGGTTGCACGGTTTACCGGTACTTTGTAGCACCACAATACTATGGCTCCAAAATCATGCCGCTGCCTCTGTAGTTTGTAAACGGTAGTATCATCATTGGCTGTTCTTCAATAGTATATGTTGCATGTAGATCACACATTTATGCCTAAAAATAATGAATAGACCACTTTATTTTATTTTAATTGTAACAATCTGCATTAAGACTTTGTGTAGAAGTTGTGCCTTTTATGATATTGCACATTTTCTGATGCTTCAAACACATCTGAATCAGTTCATTTTTGTTCCTGTGATTATGATTTAGCTACAACGACCACAAAAACAAAAGAAATGTTTATATCCAAAATATCTGTACAAATGATCTGATCTGATTAATGATTTTCTATACTAAGGGAATTATGAGGTAAATTTACGCATTATAACATATAAAATATAGTATTTGTAACCGTTTGCTTTATTTCATAGATTTGAGTTAATGAATTAATACAGTATCACGATACTACTTGGTATGGTGATAATTCTGCTTGTATAGTATCGTGGCCTAAATTTATAGTATCGTGACATCCCTACTTTACATGGTTTAAAAAATAAAAAACTACAGAGTTACAACAACAATCTGCATATTCCTTGGACCCGAGAGGTTCTAACAGTCTCTCTCCACATCTGTCCCTCAGATATCTGAACTACTTTGCAACCAAACCGAGCCCCACAGGTGTGCTGCTGGACCTGTGGGAAGCCTGCCATCAGGGGGACGCAGACCTGGTCTCGCTGGCGACAGCTCTGGAAGAGATGGGCAAGAGTGAGGTCTTGGTTGTCATGACGACAGATGGCGATTGCTGACAGGCCAATCAAAGAAGTGTGAAAAGGGGATATATTTGCCATCACAAACCTAGAATGAATGCAAGCGGATGGAAAGTGCACTTCAGTGCGTCGTTACAACTTGCCTTTTACCTCAGTTTCCTTCGTGCTCACGCAGAATATGCAGCGCCTATGAGCTGGGGTCAGGCGCTCTGGATGATCTTCAGATAATACATATCTAAATGTAGCAAACGCGACGATGCTGCAATCACAAAAACAGAGACGTCGATTCAAAAAGGACTTGCTGGTATACGATTCCGAGCAGCTCATGATTAAGTGATAGTTGCATCATACTGATACCCTCGCTGCACAGAGCAAGTGTGAAAGTACATGATCAAACGCCATTGCACATCGAGCCGCTGGCTTTGTTTCCTAGCGACCGTGAGATGCTTAAAGACACTGAGATTCTGCGTCCGGTAAAACAGCAGTGTGCCGAGCTCCTCAGGAAACATGCTCGCACATAAGTAAACAGGGGTAGAGGTGGAAACACGGATACCAATGCCAACCAACAAGGAGCTAAAGTCATCTGCACTAAAATCAGCTTGCTTAATGCGTTTTCATAATGAATTCTGGAAAAAAAGGCCAAATTATGCTGTTACAGCTTGTAACTGTGAAATATAAACTCATTTGTGAGATAAACGCACAAGCCAATATTGCGTTTATATTTTGCAATTCTGACTTTTTCCTTATAATTGTGGTTATAACTGTCAAAATTAAGAGGAAAATGCCAGAATTAAGTTGCAGTTTTTTTCCCTTAAAATTGGGTTTTTACAATTGTAAAGTCGCAATTGTTAGTTAACATAGCATAATTTTTTTGACACAGTTACAAGTTTATAAGCTTTCTCATCATCCTGATTTAAATAGGAGCATTTAATTGTTTATAACTACAATTTGTTAGAATGCCTATAAACTTAACTTTAAACATAATTCTGAGTATAGCTACACATTGCGAGACAAAATTCTGAGAAAAGGCTGAAGTTGAGATTAATTCACAATTGTTATCTATCTTAATTTGAACTTTTTCTTGCAATTGCGATTTTGTAATGTGAAGTTACAGCCTGATCTCGTGATGAAACATAGCTATTTTACTTTATCAGTTTAACAATTGTTACCAATTGTCTCACGATGAAACGCAACTGTTTTACATTTTATTAGATTAACAATTGTTAACAGTTGTGTCATAATGAAACGTGATTATTTTACGTTTTATTAGTTTATCGTCTGTTAACAATTGTCTCATGATGAAACGTAAATATTTAACGTTTTGTCAGTTTAACAATTGTTATTTATCTCAACTTGAACTTTTTCTTGCAATTGCAATATTCTCATTCGAAGTTACAGCCTGATCTCACGAGGAAACGTAAAAATTTAATGTTTTGTCAGTTTAACAATTGTTAACAATTGTCTCACGATGAAACATTACTATTTTACGTTTTGTCAGTTTAGCATTTGTTAATTATATCAATTTGAACTTTTTCTTGCAATTGCAATTTTGTAATGTGAAGTGACAGTCTGATCTCACAATGAAACGTAACTATTTTACGTTTTGTCAGTTCAACAACTGTTAACAATTGTCTCACGATGAAACTTAACTATTTTACATTTTTTCAGTTTAGCAATTGTTAATTAAATCAATTTGAACTTTTTTTGCAATTGCGATTTTATAATGCAAAGTTACAGCTTGATCTCATGATGAAACGTAACTATTTTCATTTCTTATGAAAATGTACAGTTTTAAAAAGGAGGCGTGGCACCCAACCCCACCCCTAAATCCAACCATCATTGGGTAAAGTCTAGATTGTATGCAGCTGCGAATACGCTCGTCAATATAGCATAATTTTTGTAACAATAAATAACAATAGTTAATATATTTACAGTACTATGACGGTTGGGTTTAAGGTTGGGGGTAGGCGTTAATAAAATAAAATTGATTGGATAATTTAATAAATAAAATAAATAATACTCGGTACAACTACTGTTTTACATTACTGTGATGGTTGGGTTTAGGGTTGGGGTGGGGTAGACGTAAAATACAATAAATGGGAAATTTTATAAATAATATAAATAATTCTCGTTAACATTCGGCCGCAACTGTATCTGATAGCAACAACCACATCATTGGGGGTTAAGCAAATCGTACTAAATTGTACAAATGAGATCATACGAATTCCTACAAAATAGCCACTACATCAAAAAGTTTCAAATTGCTGCGAGATTGTGTTGGAAGTTATAAACTCACAACTGCGAGAAATAAAGTCAGCAGTAAAATCAGCCTTCATATTGATTTCAGCTCGATGCTTCGGAAAGTTTTAGTTTGAAGCATTATTTTCTGTGTGTGTATTCTGAATAAGCATACAGGAATGAATCTGTGTGTTCTCGTTAGCAGAGGACCGATCTGTTTTGCTGGATTCTTTTCTTATTACTTTCTCTTATCGCACCTCCATTAGCCTCTCTTTTTTATATATCGCTCATTTCTAATGCAGGAGAGCTTTCTGGTAAACTCATATTAGTTTCCTATAGGGAACGGACTTTTTTCAAGTTATTATCCCTATTTGTGGATCATTGTTTTTTCACTCTTCTGCATGGTTAATTTTTTAATACTGCTGCTGCGTTGTTGATTATGTTTCTCACCAAACAGGATTGCAGCATAAACATGCATTTTAAAAGTGTCTCGATGTACTGCACAAGTGAAAACTGACTTTTTTTTGGTCACCGAAACTGAGACAGGATGAAATTGGGATGTTATGCTGAGGTTAAATGTGCTTTGATCCTCCTTGGAAAAAGCGAAGCGTACTGCAAATATGCTGCGCTGCATTAAATAGGATGAAATTGCGTGGATGGCAGAAAGCCCTTTTTGGGGTTTGATGCCAGTCAGTCGTGCTGTTTAAATTATAAATAGTAGCCTTGAGAGGTGGCGTAAGTGCTCTGTTGATTGCAGTATGACCCACTTGCTCTTTATTGTCTGTTTTGACTTTCGGGTTTTAATGGGTTTCCCTTGAGTAAGCCTGAAAGCCATCTACCGCTTATTGTCAGAAGTCAAATAATCATTTGAAGCGGATGTTGCTCCATTTCTTTTATTTTTCTTGACCTTTTCTTCGTAAAGTGTTCAAAACGTCTGGCAACAAACAAAAGGAAAATGTGCAGTATCTGTCCATGCCTGGAAAGGTGTGGATTAAATGGCCGAGGTGTGTGAGTGTGTGTGTGTGTGTGTGTGTGTGTGTGTGTGTGTGTGTGTGTAGTGTCTTGTTTTCATCACAGAATTTTGTATTTTCCAATTCGAAGAAAATAGTCTGGAGAAAAACACTCTGAGAAATACAGACAGAATTTTGAGTTTGTATTTTGCAATTCTGACATGTTTATTCTCAGAATTTTGACTTTAATTCGCACACTTTTCAAATTTGTGGGATTTTGTAGAAGTTTGTGGGTAGCAAAAGATACAAATCTGAGGAAATAATTGCAAGTTTATAATAAGTTGAGAGAATGCAAGGGTCAGAATATTATGAGATATACAGTGCTCAGCATTTATGAGTACACCCCTCACAATCCTCTCTTTTAAATTCATATTTTTAAGAGGAAGCTATACAATATATATATATTGATTTTTCCTCTCATTTTAAATTTGTATTTAATATTTCTCTATAACATATACTTTTCGGTGTACTAGTTTTTGGACCGCTATCGTAAGTTATTTTGTGTAATTAATAAGCTCCCGATTTGGCTTCAGCAATGACTAATTTAATAATAATAATAATAATAATATATATATATATATATATATATATATATATATATATATATATATATATATATATATATATATATATATATATGCATTAAAGAAATTTAAAAATTAAAGTAAAAAAAGTAAAAAAAATAAAAAATGGTGTGTACTAAATTATACTGAACACTGTAACAAATAACAAGTTTTTTGTTCTCAGAATGGCAACTTTAAAATATATGTATTTTTATTTCTTTATTTTTTATAACTTTTAGTGATGATTCTCACATTAATCTTTCTCAGAAACAAGTAAAAGATAATAAAGCTGCAATTCTAAGAACAAAAATCTAATTATGTGACCCTAACTGTCAATACTGAATTCATATTTTAGACAAAAAAAATTTGTTGCCGTTTTTTCTCAAAATTGAGTTTACCTCGCAAGCTATAACTCAAAAATGTGAGTAATTTTTTTTAATGCAATGAAAAATATTGTACATATATCACTTGTACGACTACTAAAACAACATTTGCTTAATTTTGCAAATCTTTCACAGTTGTATACCTATAAAACTATTTGTACTACTTGAAACTGCAAGTTGTAAACATACAATATTGGCCTTATTGTCTGACATAAAGAGGAGAATAATGCAATAGGAAAATGTCAGTTTGCAGCAAAACAAGCTGTTTTCAAAGGTCCCATGAAGAGCTTTTTTTATTACATGTTTGACATAATCTCTGAAAAACAAAGAGAGGGTGGGACATAGCATAGCTCCTCCCTGTATTAAAAAAACAGCCAATAGTGTTTTGTTTTGTTTTGTTTTATCACAGCTCCACCAGTGAGAGTAGTTGAGCTCAAGTGCATCAAATGAAAAGCAAATGAGAAGCATCTTGAAGGGGCGGGGCATGTCAAATACTAGAGAGTGTTTGATTGGCCAAGATTTGATCCATTGTTTATCCATTTAGGCTGAAGTGACAAACTACAAGCTTTACATGCTTTACACTTCTATGTGTTTTATATTATCTAAACGCAAAAGTTGTCATTGTTTTGTACCACACTAGCTCATAGATATCCTTAAAAACTAAAAAACTGACACTAATTTCACTGGACCATTAATGTCTAAAAATGAAGGAAAGTGAATAAGACCGGAAGTCTCAAGCCAAAAAGATTCAAATGCCTGCGCCCGCTCGTACTTTAATAATAAGGTCAATAATTCTGAGAAATAAGTCTTACTTGTGAGATAGGCACAAAATCCTAAAAGTTTTGTTCTTACTTTGCAAATCTGACCTTGCAAAATAATTTCCTTGCAAATAATTAACATTGCATTTGGGAAAAATAGCCTTTTTTTTTGTCTGTGATGAAACAGGTTTGTGTGTGTGTGTGGCAAGAGACAGAGAGAGAATTTAAAAATCAGGAGCTTATTTGCGCCAACTGAGTGTCTATGAATGAACAGGCTTCATCATATCTGTGGTTCCTCCTTTCCCATTAAAAGTACTATGCAAGTGCACAACGAAACAAGTGAATCTGTGGACGTCTTGATGTCTCGTGTATGAAGTACGTGGAATGGGAATCTTATTAACGTCCCTCTTCTGATCACTGCTGTAACTAAGCTGGGGGAAAACTGGACCTCTTAGGCTTCTCAGCCGTAATAAATGCAAACAAAACGACTGTAATTGCGGGTCAGGGATCCATGACCTCCACATCGTTCCTTCTCATTTGTTTAGGAAGCTTTTGGCTGTCGCTTGCGCACTCACGATGAACAACAAGTTTGTTTGGAGGATTTTTCACTCTCTTCGGGATGAAGAGCGTGAACGGACTTTGAAATTCCCTGATGGATTCCGGACTTTTAAACGGCTCTGAGATGTTGTCTGTCGGTCGATGTTACAAGAAAACGCCTTCAAGCATTTTACACGTGAAGCTGAATGGGCTTTGCTTTTCTCTGGATGGTGGTTGCTGTTCATGGAAACTCAAGTATGGCCGAACTTAACCTTTTTTTTTGTTGTTGTTGTTGATGTTCAGATGTTATTTTATATCAAAGAAAGTACACAAGAAAAGTTTTTTTTTTTCATGTAATGCTGTAAAGAAATACTGTACATAAATGTTTAGACTTCTTACTGTAACTAAATATAATTTTTATGCAATAAATTATATTTCCTAGTTTAACAAAACTGTCTTTTTGTGTGTCACTTCTGGAAATGGTTATACTGTAGCTTAATTTTAACATAAATGCTACATTGCAGTCAATGAAGAGGTTTAAAGATGTTTTTTGTATACTTTTCTGAAATGGATATACTGTAGCTTAATCAAAGACAAAAATGCTTCACTGCAGTAAATGTGAAGAGGTTTAAAGATATTTAAGCTTATATACACTGTTGCTTAAGAACAAAATGCTACACTGCAGTGAATGTGAAGGGGTTTAAAGATATACAGTTGAAGTCGGAATTATTAGCTCCCTTTGAATTTTTTTTTTTTTTATATTTCCGAAATGACATTTAACAGAGCAAGGAAACTTTCACTGTATATCTGATAACACTTTTTCTCTCATTTGTTTTATTTCGGCTAGAATAAAAGCAGTTATTAATTTTTTTAGCATTTTAAGGTCAAAATTATTAGCCCCTTTACGCTATTTTTTTGAAATTCTACAAAACAAACCATCGTTATACAATAATTTGCCTAATTACCCTAACCTGCCTAGTTAACCTAATTAACCTAGTTAAACCTTCAAATGTCACTTTCAGCTGTATAGAAGTGTCTTGAAAAATATCTAGTCAAATATTATTTACTGTCATCATGGCAAAGATAAAATAAATCAGTTATTAGAAATGAGTCATTAAAACTATTATGCTTAGAAATGTGCTGAAAAAATATCTCCATTAAATAGAAATTGGGGATAAAATAAACAGGGGATGCTAATAATTCAAAGAGGGGGT